CGGTGGCAGGGCAAGGACAGAACACGGGATTTCTCAGCAGCGCAGGTTCTCTCAACAGGACTGCCAGGACCAAGAGGACCGCGCACCCCGTGTTACACCGGGGAGAGTTCTCGGTGTGTGACAGCGTCAGCATGTGGGTTGGGGACAAAACCACAGCCACTGACATTAAAGGTAAAGAGGTGACGGTGTTGGGAGAGGTCAACATTAACAACAACGTTTTTAAGCAGTATTTTTTTGAGACCAAGTGCAGGGACCCTAAGCCAGTCTCCAGCGGGTGCCGAGGGATTGATGCAAAGCACTGGAACTCTTACTGCACCACAACACACACCTTTGTCAAAGCGCTGACAATGGAGGGCAAGCAAGCAGCCTGGCGATTCATTCGGATTGACACAGCCTGTGTGTGTGTGCTCAGCACCCTGAGATGGGTCTAAACCCCATGACGACATCCTCCTACCCCCCCTACCTCAGTCTGTAAATTATTTTAAGTTATAAAGGACTGCATGGTATATTTATAGTTTATACAGTACAGAAAGAACCTCATTATTTATTAAACTCTTTTGGAAACCTTTTGTGTTTTGCAATTTATTTACTGTCAGAATGTTTATAAATTTGGAAAGGGCAGTGTCAGGAGGAAGGAGCCAGGCTCTGCTCTGGGATGTCCAATGCCAGGACAAGGGGCAATGGGTGCAAGCTGGAGCATAGGAGGTTCATGTGAACATGAGGAAAAGCTTTGTCAGTGTGAAGGTGCCAGAGCATGGCCCAGGCTGCCCAGAGAGGTTGTGGAGTCTCCTTCTCTGGAGACACCCAAAGCCCTGGCCGTGTTCCTGTGTGACTGCTCTGGTGATCCTGCTCTGGCAGGGGTTGCACTGGGGGATCTCCAGAGGGCCCTGCCAACTCCTGACATTCTGTGTGATTCTGTGTGTGAGACAGAAACCACTCCTGATAATCACTGGTATGCCACTGCTCAGCCCCCTCTGGTAGGTGGTTATGGTGTGGGACAGCAATATTCCAGTGAGAATGTTTTTCTCCCTCCAGAACAACATATTTGCAATATTTGCATGAATAGTCAGTTATCTGAAAGGTCAAGGAGCGGGCAGTTTCCTGACTGTCCTGTGTCCTCCAAATAATGCTGACTTGTTCTGGAGCAGGGGGAGGCAATCCTTAAGGAATCCTTACAGCGCAGTCATGCCAGCATCGCATGCCCTGACACAGGAACAGAACACGACAGCAGCAGCAGCCACCTGCCAGTCACCGCAGGAGAAACGCAGGGAGATCAGTGAAACACGGTATTCTGAAGCAAGGAAAAATGCAGAATTGGAGCAGAGACCCGTCAGTGCTCTTTGGTGGCCTTAAAGCAATGGACAAAAGTAACAAATCTGCTTTCGAAGTGCTCTTTGCCATACATGACACGATGCGACCAGGGCTAAATGAAGCTGCTACTCATTCAGGACTTCCAGGGTTATGGAGGCTGCCATTATTTTACCACTGATAATAAAAATGCAATTGAAAGTGTCTTGTGAACACACTTGGTAATTCCAAACATGTGTAAGACTTGGCTTTTCTTCAAAGAGCCCTGAAACTGAGGGCTTTCTTCTCAAAACGATCTTGGGAGCTGCCATTCCTTCCTCATCCAGCCCAATCAGGAGCTCCTCTGAGCACATTCTCACCGAGAGCAAGGTGCTACTGCCTATAACACCCAATCTGAGGGACAAAGAGCTGTCATTAAAAGCTCTATGAACTTCTGGTACAAATCTGGACCTCGATTAAAATGTCTCTTAATAAACATTTAGCTGTTTATTATGGGGTTTATTCAGTCTTGCAGATATTGATGTGATCTATTCCACATTTATCCCTTCAGCTGATTCTTTACTTTGTGCTCCCAAGACTGCAACTACACTGCTTCATCATTCATGCCAGCGATCTACTGGCATTTCTCGTCTGTTCATAAAAAAGGTCTCAAAAGGGAGGGCGGAAGAGGGCAAAGGACAGGTTGATGCTTTCACACTTGATCTTGATCCCACTGTCAATTGCAGAATCTGGAATTCCAGACTGAGAGCTACAAATCCAAGTCTGTAACTTAAACTTGAAGGGCGCACATCATTTCTCTCCCTGCACATGTGGTGTTGTTACGGCTGTGTGACACGTTGATGTGACCAATGATCTACTGAGAAGTGGTGACGTATTTCAAAAAGTTAATTTAATGAGAATGTGGGGATTTATGATTATAAAATAAGAAAAAGCTGAAAAAGTGCACCCAGAGAGAGAATTATTGCCGTATTTCAATTTCTGTATTAACTGTGCGCTCAGATGGCAAAATAGGGCTCCATCTCTGACCATAGCTACAGAAACCCAATCCCCCTCCAGCACTCAAACGTCATTCCACTCACAGATGTCTGCACGATGTTTTAAGACCAGAATTTAAACCAACAGTAGTCCTGGCTGTTCTTGCAGTAACTGGCATCACATTTCCCTGTTACCTCCAGGAACAGAGAAATATTCTTGATAAAGCCCAAGCACAGAGTTTCACGCCGTGTAAAGAGGTTGGTATCATACGATAAGGATACCCTGAATAGAGTACGGCATTGACTGCCTGAAGGTGTAAGGAATCATCATCTCTGGACACGCCAGAGAACAGGGGAAGCCATCAATTCTTCTGCTTTGAGTGAGACGCAAGAACTACAAGATTTTCAGTGACATCTGCCACTATCTGTGTGCTCATTTCTCAAGAGCACTTCTGGTACCCACAGCTTCTCCACTTCTTTTGAAACAAGTGCTACACACGGCTGGATCCTCTTCTGACTGTTTAAGAAGTCTACCAAATATTACCTTATACAAGCTTGACAACCAACCGCTTCCCTAAAGACAAAGTGCCTTCATTTCTTCTTAAAGCCTTACTTATAAGGACTGAAAACAATTACGGCCATGACAAAGGAAAGCTACTTCATATAAGATCAGCTGGAGGGAACCGATTTATTGGAAGAACTGCATAGTCACTGTTATAAGAACCTGAAATGTATCTCTCTAGATGCTGAACAAGGACAAGGTCCTTGCATTTAAAAAGCAAATCAGACCAGATTTGGTTTCCCCTTTAACCAAATGCCATATGCATGACACCAATGATTTCACTACCGCACATCTGGTCTGACTAAGGAGTGCACGCTGAATTTTGCCTGGAGGAACACAGATTGCTCTCTAGAAAGATGAAGGACCATCATCAGTTTCCATCACCTAACATGGGACTCATCCTCTCATCACTGCTGTTATTGCAGTTTTGGTTTGGTGGTGGTTTTTGCTGGGGGGGTGGGGAGGAGGCCGACCACGTATGTCTGAAATCCTCCTGGTTACGCAATCGTTCCCACTGCGAGTTGATGCCAAAAGCCTGGAACGCCAGAAAGGCCATTCAGACGCCTGGACGTGCAATGAGGTCGTACTTCACTGGACCTTGCCATGATTATTTTCACTTCAACTGCAGCACAGACAGGAAATTTTGACAGAGAAAGAGCCACTTTACAGAACAGTCATGCTTTCTCTATGCGCTTCCCTTCATCCCTTACATGACAATGTGGCTTCATTCTCTACTCCCGTACTGAAAGGGAAATGCTGTGGAAGCCACACCCTTGCCAGCTTTTCTTTAGTGAGCAACACCTTTCACTAGAGCAATTACAACCACTCCCAGGGAACTTACTGCAGGGCTTGGAATCACTGTGTATTGTATTTTCACTTTTCTCCGGCTGTATCCTAGAGGCATTCTTTGCTCTAGAAAAGTCAGTTATATGCCTACAAGTAAGCTACTCTGATATGGTGTCTCTAGCATTAAAAAACAGTCATTGGACCTGACATGCAGTCTTGAATTCCAGCACTTGCTCTGTATAACCACTGCAGATTGTACATTGATGCTCCAGTAGCACCCTCCAACCAAACTGCTTTATGAAGTGAAAAGGAACTAGAAAAAAACGACAGAACACTGCATGTCACAGCCCAAAGTGGAACAGAATGCAGAATAACCAGTATACAGCAGTTTAATATTTAAAGAGCACAATCCACCACAACACCTGGGCACAGCGGGCAGGGCCAAAACCAAGAAAATACAGGACAGAATCATCCAACCTCCAGTCTGACCAGGAGACAGCATCCACTGTTTTAGACAGCAAAGGGGAATCATGACAGGACCAACATCTCCTTAAAATACTGCCAGCCAGCATCAAAGCACAAAATCCACCATACTTACTCTGCAAACTGGTGTTTCGCTTAATACTCAAATTCAGTCACTGTGGAATGGCTCCTTCTGCCTGGAAAGGGCAAGCCTGTACTGAAGGCACTGACTCATGGATTTTCTCTTTTGTACCACTTCTGTTTACATAATCCAGCATACACAGCGGCCTCTCTTCATGCATTTAGCAAGATCTCGCCCTGAAGTTTGTGATCCAAAGCGTGATCATTCGAGAAATGAATCACGGAGTTGTAAAGGTTATGCAAGAACATTCAATCTAGGTAATACCTTTAGCCTCTGATGAACACAGCACAGATGCTCTTGGCGCCTCTATGAGAGGCCCATCTGCTGCTGCTACTGATCATCTGCATCCTATGGGGATTTTGTTCTGTGTTCCTTTCTCCTCTTGAATCATTTGATTTGGTCAGATTCCAACTCTACTGCACAGAATCCAACTCTGAGAACAAGTTAGGCTGTGGCAGGAAGGAATGTGCACAATCTGAATTCCCCCGAGAGAGATCTATTAACTAATAAATAACAAGACTTTCATTACAGGTTCTAATTAAAACAGAACTTGACTGATTTAGGAGTTAAACTGTGTACTAATTCCAAAATTCAGTTTGATATGTACCAGTAACATTCAAGCTCTATCCATTTTCATTTTGTATTGACTTGATGCACAGTAAAAAAAGGAAGGGGTGAAAAAAGTGTTCATGTCACCACCTGCAAATGACTGCTGTGGTTCTAGGTTCTTCACACAGATTGGAATGCAAATTTCTAACAACAGATGCACTGTGAGTGGGATAACATTCTAGGTGTGCTGAACATAGGAAAGAGCCACTGAATAGGTAAATAACGAAAGAGCATGTACGATTCATTAGACAACACCCACTGTGTCACACCTGTGATTGCAAGATCCGAGTTTTTTGTGTTTTCTCACACAAAAAATACAACAATTAATAAACCATTTCCTATTAAGGTAGTAAAAAAACTGAGCAGACAGATTTTGTACAAATATTTCAATAGCTTTTACATCAACTGATAGCAATTATAAGAAATTTTAGCCATAAATATTGTTTAGCAAACAGTAAAACTAGAGGCTTAGGTTAAAAATATTCTGAATCAGAGCAGCTGTATGTAACTAGCCAAGATGAAGAACTGAAGGTGACCAGAATGCAAAGAGTGCACGAAAAGTCCCTCATCTTTCATTAGTTTCCCAAG